GGTGTAAGAAAAGATTTCCCCAAGCAGATTGTATGACAAGTTGAGCATTTTTAAATTACCCTGAAGGCCTTCAAAGGCCATTCTGTGTATCTGATTCACTTTGTTTTGAGAAAGATCAATACTAGTGACTTCTGTCAGTGGAGTGAAAACTCTCTGACGCAATGAAAATATTCTGTTCTTGGACAAGTCCAGAAAGCGGACTGAACTGTTTTTCAAGCCTTCAAAAAAGTCAAAGTCTGGATCTGGGAGATTATTGAAAGAGAATCCTTTTCCTATGTGTCCAGAGACTTTAAGATGGGAAATGTTTGTTCCACTAATGGCGCTGAAAAATAGTCTTAATTTATCCACACTGAGTCCACTGTAGGACAAATCGAGAGTCTGAAAAGATACTCCGCTGAAAGGATTCCCACATTTCTGCCAGTCGAAACTCGTATTCAACATGTTCCTCAGGTAGACGCCTTTAAGGCTAAAAAGTGTGAAATGTTTTCTTTTGAAACCAACAAGATCAGACTCACATATTTCATCAATTTTGTTCAGCTCCAGATTCAAGTTAGTCAAATCAGTCATATTCGCAAAGAACTGTGAAGGACGGAGTCTCTTAATATGGTTCCCGTAGAGATTTAGAGTCTGCAAAGATGACAGTGGTGCTAGATAATTTCCTGTCAGAATGGACTCGTTTAGCAAACAGTAATCCAAGTGGAGCTTCTGGAGATTGGACAACCCAGCAAAGGCCAGCGGTTCCAGTTGAAGATGAGGGTTTAACCCAAGCACCAGCCTCCGAAGGCGTCTCTGCCTGAGGAAGGCATTGCTCCGGATGACAAGCGGCACCTTCTGATTCCCAAGGTCCAGTTCCTGCAGGTTCTCCAAGCCGGACAGCGAAGTGGCGTTGATCTCACCGATCCGATTGTTCTCCAGGAACAAGTGGGTGATGTGAGGAGGAAGAGGAGGAGCAGAGTGGAGGTTTTCAAACCCACAGAGGGCAACCGAGCCTTTAATGAGGCATGATGGGAAGCAACCTGGCATCTGCAAGTAAATATTCAGAAAATAAATTTCATTGTGAATTTCTGGTACTATAAAGATAATGTGTGATATATATCTCAAAGGTGACCTATTAAGCTTCCTTGAAGAAGTTAGGATACAAAACATGTTCATGAATTTTTTTGGGATAAAATTATTCTTCCATAATGCGTTCTGTTCATTTTGAGCTTCTTTCACAATGAGTTGTGTTATAACTCTAAATCTCAAGAAGCCACTACTGGCCACAACGCCTTACTCAACGTTCACACGCACACATGAAAATGGCTGCAAACAGATGCACAATTATACAAGAAGCAGAACCAACAAGATTGTATCAAGTGGTTTCTGGATGGTAAGCCAACAACAAAACGTGTCTTTTCCAGCAGCCATTGTGGAATGGATACATTTGCAAGATATATGAAACTTAAATTGTTCAGTACAGATGTCCATACCTGTAGGAAAACACCAACCACAATCAGCTCAAGACCAGGTGTCCACATCATCATTCTGCTTCTTCTTCTCCCAGACTTGAAAATAATCTCATCAAAGTGATGCTCAGTGTCTGGTGCAGAGTCTCCTGTGGGCAGGCTTTTTATTTGTGATTGTTTACGTCAGAGTTCCCGTTGAGCAGGATTTCCCCCTTTTTCAGTGCCCAGGTTTGCAAGAGACAGGGAAGTACCTCTGCATGTTTACAGCTCTCTGTTGGTTTGCACTGTCAGGGTTACAGTACATGCTGCATTGCACAACTGTTTGCCAAAGTCTTAGTTGCGTAAAGAAAATTTTTGATAGGGCATCGTGTTCTGTCTGTTTTTAAGATCAGACGATATGAATCTAAATAAACTGTTTGGTATTGAAACGTTTAGAGAGGAAACCAAGGAGATGGTGGATTTCAGAAAGGTCAAGGATCCTCTTCATCCCCTGTACATCGGAGGAGCAGCTTTGGAGGTGGTCTCCAGCTACAGGTATCTGGCTGTGCAGATATCCAGTGAGCTCACCTGGTCACTGGATATCAGGAAGGCCTGCCAGTGTCTCTGCCTCCTCAATCCTGAGGAGCTTCTATAGCTGTGTGGTGGGGATCATTCTCTGCACCTGCATCGCCATGTGGCACAGCAGGTGCACTGCTGCTGAGAGGATGGCTCTGCACAGGGGGCAGCGTTTCCTCCACCTTGGTAACTTGGTAAGATATTATGTTTTTGAAGTGTACACATGTTCAAGCTCTTGAAGTAACCCAAAATGAAAACGAGCTTTACACCTTTGAGTTCAGCAATAAAGAGGAACACAGACAAATATAACAAAGAAATGCTCACAGCACAAACGGAAATTAAACCACAGGATTGTGACACATATTACATAATTTTTTGATCTATGTTCAATTAGTAGACATGTAGGAAATGCACTAGGCTTTTCCAAAATAGTTGACAAATAATTTAGAGGAAAAAAAAAATCTGTCAGGGATTACCTGATCAATTAATATTAAACTCGGCCGCCAGTAAAACAGGCCTTTATTAACTTTCTGTTGAAAGTACAAAAGTATCCAGGTAATTGGGACTAACTATAGTTCCTTCTGAATGTTTGAGAGTAGGTTTCTGGGAGTTTTTTTTTTTTTTACCACTGACATGCTAAATTTCACAACTCCCAGGAAATAAACAGAGCAAGAGAAAAAACCTGATAAATGCTGCTTGACTTTTCTGCTGGCGAATATTGTTCATGGTGTTAATTTAATGCTGCTGCTGTAATTTAACAAAGAAATCTTAACAAATGGGTGATTAAGTTTTATAAGCGCAATAAATTAGACCTTGGCCTGTCTGTCCCTCTACTGAATCTGTGGAGTTTCAGTATGTCAGACATGTCTGCTAGAACAAATGAGTGACTCTGAGGGAAAAACACAATATCCACAGTTTATTTTATTGCCAATTAAGGGAATTTATTGTTAACTATTACAAAGCAGAGTGAAAGATTTAGGAAAACCATTGGAAGTCTCTGTTTTTCTAATATAAATCACTTGTACAGCTTAAACAAATAACTTCAGGTGTTACTAAAATGTGTTATGATATGAAATATAACTTAAGAGAAATTTGACTTTTTGAAATTGGGTTCTGTCTCTTTAAGACGCTCCCGCTCTTTCCAACACTCTGCCTTCAGTATGTCATCCCAACAATTCTGCTTTTTATGTGAGGTAGTTTCAATAAGTTTATGACTTCCACCAGGTGTTTGCTAATTGCTGCTGCCGCTAGTCTAGAGGAATTGCGAGGGTTTGGGCAGAAAATGAATAGGGCTCCTGCATCAGCTGCTTTGCAAACACCCTGCGATCGCAGGTCAAGTAGCATTGTGCCTAGATATTTCTGCTTAAGCTATATTTTCTTTCAGTAATTTAGAAATTATCTTGTATTTCTCAAATAGTTCCATGAAAAACATATAGGTGGGTGTACACTTTATTGAGAAAATATATTAATTTTGTTGTTTATGTAACTTTCTTTTCCAGATAAATATAAAAATCAAAATCAACATGTGACAATTTCTTAATAAAGAATTTTATATTTAAAGTTGTAGTGTACAACTTTTATTAAAATTTTTTTTTTTACATATTTGTCAAAACTGTCGCTGTGTTGTGACAGTGTAGTACAAAACAGATAATTTGCTTAAAAAATTGCTGCCTTGCTCTCTGCTCTCTTTTTCCCGCCAGGAAAGCCTGTTGTGAAAGCGATGGCGAGTTAGCACAGCCAACGGTGACAGTGAAGTGAAAAAAAACAGCTTTCCTGTAAATGTAAGTTGTTTCTCCACTATTAGCAGATTTAGTAGCAAATACAAGAGAATGATTGATGGTGAGGAGGCCCTCCTTCTGCCTCTGACTGGTTGGCAGTGGTGCATTTCTTCAGACGGCAATAGTAGCTCAGGGAGGAGGTGGAGGATCTCAATCTTTCCACAGCTCATCTGTGTCATCATACATATACTTTTATGTCAAAGCAAACAGTTTTAACAAATATATTTTTTAAATAAAATTTACACAGAAAAATATAAGTGGGGTTCCACTTTTTTGAGAAAAATTTGAATGTTTATTGTTTAAATGCAATTACCGTATTTTCTGGACTATAAGTTGCAGTTTTTTTCATAGTTTGGCCAGGAGTGCAACTTATACACCAGAGCGACTTATGTGTGAAATTTTTAACACATTATTATATCATATCACATGTTATTTTCCCACTAAACCGTAAAAGGGCGCTGTAGGCCTGTGTTGATAATGTGTGAGTTAGAAGCTAAGTTCCAGAGTTAGTGGTGTTTTTTAAAAGCAACACTGAAGATGAAGATTTAGTGATTTGGAGAGACACGGATGGTTTGGTAAACTTGTTGGCATGTTATTTATGCTATAGTTATCTGAATAACTCTTAATATGTTATGTTAACTTACCAGGCACATTCTCAGGTCGTTGTTTATGTGTCATGAAACATTAGCATACCGTACAATTATTCAGCCTGTTGTTGCCTCTATTCTATTTTTATTGCCTTTCAAGACGACATGTCTGTTCTTGGTGTTGGACTTTTTTCCCCTCAAAAATGCGACTTATACACCGGTGCAGCTTATATATGTCTTTTTCTGCTTTATTATGCATTTTATGGCTGGTGCAATTTATAGTCTGAAGCGATTTATAGTCCAGAAAATACGATATATAACTTTCTTTCCCCATACAATTATAAATGAGATCCAACATGTGACATTTTCTTAATATTTAATGAGGTATGCAATTTTTTTCAACCAAATTTGAGTCCTGGAAACAAATTCAGCTTGGGCCCCCAGAAAACTTTGGACCGGCCCTGTAGTCAATTCATCTTTTTTGACTTGAAGTGAAAACAGACATAATACGTTCATCTTTTCCCCCCAAATGAAACCGGTACTTAAAGTTTTAGTCGTGTGGGTCGGTTTTGAGCGAATAAGCCGAGTAAAAAGGGGAGGAAGCAGGACGAACCAGGGAGGAGTGACTTTTCTTTCAAAATAGTTCACTTCATCGCAGCAGCAGCAACCGGTGCAGTAGCTGCTGCGGGCGGGTGTGGAGGTGACAAACATGGCTCTTCCCGGAAATAAATAACGGGACCGGTGAAAGATAACGTCCTAACTCAGGTGGAGGTCACAACAAAGCGAAGAAACTTGTCCCCCGGGTTTCTGTGTTGATGTATTTGGACCTGCCGAAAACAGTCCCGGTGAGTAAATCTCGTCACTGAAAAACACACAACGTGGTTCGGAAATCCAACCGCACGTTTCAGCGACGTGAGCGGTTTGTTTCCAACGGCTAAAAAGTGCCAAAGTTCGGGAGCGAGAGGCTCCGGGCAGCTTCATTCGGGGGAACAAGGTGAACAGGGAGTTAAACTTTCCTGCAATATGGCCGCTCAGATGTCACAAAGCTGCCCCGAAAGTTGGCAGAACCTCAGAGAAATTCACGATCATTCATGTTTTATAATCATCGTTGTTGTTGGAAGCGATGATGTACAGTTAAAAACCGTTAGCTGAGCAGTGTACGTGGGTTTTTTTAATAGAAAGGGCTGTCTTTCCCTGCCATGACTAAGACATGCCCACTTTTCAAATCAAAACGGCAATTGGTGTTCAGTTCCTCATCGGTGGGAGGAACAGTACTCCATTCGAAAATACGGCAATTGTAAGTTTTCCTAACTTTTCTTCAAAATATGCTAACTCTAGGCCTCAACCTTAAGGGTCTTTAAAGTCAGCAGTGTGCAATATTAAATTCGGCTTACCAATTTATGTGTATAAGTGTTTTTTTTCTGGACAGTAGCTGTGCAATTGTAGGTGTCGTGGGTCAAAAATCGACCTCTTCTTAAGGAATTGAAGTAAATTAACAGGAGAATTATTATGGAATTAGATTGTGACCTTAAAAACTACATTTATTCCTTAAGAGATTTTAGTCAACATAGGTAGAATAGATTAATTCTCATGTGAACACAAACTTTGCACTTTGTTGTATATAATCTGCAACTGAAATCAAGACCAGTGGGTCAGTGAATGCAGATGCTATAAATACATTGTTCCAATAAATTTATTAAATAATTTTCTTATTTTATTAATTTACACAAGAGCCAAAAGTAAACTCAGTTGCGACAAATTATAAAGAAAGAAAGCAAAAAATTTAAAAGGATACAAAAGGTTAATTTAAAATTTAGCTGTTACACTTTGACTTTATTGCTTATCCCATGAGCCTTGTAATTTGCTTATTATTTGTATTTTTTTTCTTTTTAGTTTTGATCTACCTGTAAAACAATTACAAAAACGTGAAGGCAACCTTTTATGAACTGGAAATTGAAGATTTTTGCTTGGGTGGTAAAAAAAATGTGCTTGAAAATTTAAATAAAAATGCAAATGTTCTGATTCAAAAAAGAATAACGGGTTTCACCAAGTTATAATGGATTATAAGAACTGATAAAATTGAGACCTCTTTTGCCTAGTGGGGATATATTTTGTGCTTCAGGCGAGGGAAGGTATGTTTACACTTAAAACAGGGCGAAATGAAAAGGCAAACAAGAATTAGCCATCTGCCATTTTTTCTAGAATCCACCACCCTTCACCTAATGAGTGGGTAGATCTGCAAAAGAATCTGTTATGTCTTTACAAAAGCTTTTTCCTTATAACCTTTTCTTTAAACCCATATGGAAAGACTTGTTGTTGGTTTACTGCACGGCTGAACTGTGCGACTATCTTCGCTGTGGGTGGGGAGATAATAGCAGAGAGGATGAAACCTATGATTAGTCTGGTTTATATAATTCCCCAGGAATCAAATTATAGTGAAATTAAAGCGTTCTTCGTTTTGCATGTAGGAGTAATTGCTGTAAAGTTCACAGAGCTCTTCAACCAATTGCTGTTTAACACGAGCGAATCTGAGTTAATACACAACGCAGCTCGCAGCATTGCCGCGAGGTAGAGAAAAGGGACTTGTTCCTTGTTCATTTACTTTTCTTTCACCGGTGCTTGGGAGAATATTTGCATAACAGCTTATTTGAATTCCTGTTCAGGTGATTCTGAGGTCATTGACACTGCGGTATGTTTGCACAAAAAGTCAAGTGAATTTGTACATGCTGTGCCAAAATAAGAAAAAAATGCTCTGCAGTTTTCTACGCAACACAAGACACAACTTTCACTTCCTATCTTTTGTCTCTTGCATGCTCATCCTGTTTCTTGCACTTATGTTTCCTTCCGGTTTCTTTAATTCACCACAGTTTCTGTTACATCTTATCCTGCAGAGTTTCTTTCTCTGCATTCTTGCGATTATTGTTTCTGTAAATAAATGAAAAAGTTGCTTTGTCAATTTAGATATCTGAAAATGTAAATGTGTAAACATAGAGCCTAATAATAGGATAAGTACGCTGTAATTAAATGTAGCATTGAATGTCCTAGCTTAAAATGGCAAACAATGCGAGGGACTGTGTTGGTGGGGCAAGTTGGTTCTAGTACAAGTGAGACAATGAAATATGATCTATGAATGGTTCCCAGTCAGTTTAAACTGGTCTTAATGTCAGATTAAATTCAGTAAACATAACTTAATTTGATAATAATAAACTTTTTGTGATATGAAAATTGTGTTTGAACCATTATTATCTTGTTGTTCATCAAGATAACTGTTTTAGCTAAATCCACATTAGATTACCATGATGAACTTTGTTAATTTGATCCTCAATGACTTTTTTTTGGTGGAACTTTCTCTCTGTATATTCAGTCTTTTTGGAGCTATTAAAATATCTGCTACATAATGTTTACCATAAATTTGTATGCAAATGTGAAAACCTTCTCTCAGCTATAAAAACAAATTATAAAAAAAGGAAAAATTAAATAAATAAATAAGTTAAATGTTGTTGAAGCCTTCAATAATTACTTTTTTGCAATAATTCATTCACTTATTTTAATACTTTGATACTGTAAAGCTATTTTAGTTTGATAATAAGAAGGACCATCCCAAAAGTCAGTTTATTAAATTTTCTGTTTGTTTTTTTCCCCCCCAAGTATTTTTCTTTTCTTTATTCGGTTTTTTTGAATTGGCAACATGTTTCTGACCCAAAAAAATAACCTCTGCTTTCAGTGGATAAATAAATGTTGATAGAGTTGTTACAACCCAGGATTTCAGAAACCAGGAACCTTAATTTGGAAATAAAAATTAATGGAGAATTTCTTGAAATTAATGGAAACTTATTTGAATATTTTTTAAACGTTGATGATTGGCCAATAACTGTAATAATCCAGCATTAATGTGTTTCCCAGTGTTTTGAAAATGACCTGTCCTCCTCTAAAGCAAACCCACATATTAATCCCAAAAGGTGAACCTTAAACTTTTTCTATTTGTCTTAAATGTGACATATTATGTTTTCTTGAACCGGTTAGGATAAAAAAACATGTTCATTACATTTTTGTGCAAAATCATTCTCATGATGAGATTTTAGTCTGGTCTGGTTTTGAGCTCCTTTCAGAATGAAATGTTTTAGGGCGTCTTGTCACTTTAAATTATAATGAGCTATTTCAGCTCATTAGGATCCCAACATTGAGTTGGGGTGCCTCCCCAACTCAATGTTCACATTTAAAATGGCTGCAAAGAGATGCGCAATTACACAGCCGTACATCTTTGAAAAGCGTTAGTATAGCCGCCTGCACAACCAACAAGAATGTAACGAGTGGTTTCTGGACAATTAAGTCAGCAAAAAAAAACACTTGTCTTTTCCAGCAGCCGTTGTACAGCACATACAGAAGCGAGACCAGCTGGCCAAATATGCTTGAGTTCAATTTGGGTTGCTCTGTAACAGCGCAGTGTTTGTTGATTGGCTCAGCGGTTTCCTTTCCAGATACCAAAAAACATTAAGTTATTGCCAAAAAATACCTGAGTTGTTTTTTTTAAGTGCTTAGGCTGTTGAGACTCCACTGGAAGTATGAAAATGTGCAAAATCTGACTTTTGCATAATAGTTGCATAATAATTTCCCTATTAATAAGCCAGCTGACCAAACGTGTTGGAGCTCGTCTTGGTTGCTGCCTGCTGATTTGTGATGTTACATTAGGAAGGTTTTTAAGCGGCTCATTTTCCAGACACCAAAACACATGAATTTATTGGCAAAAAACAGCATGTTCTTTTATTGTTTAGGTTTTTTTTTTATGTGTTGGCCACGTTTCAGAAGCTATAGAGACTCAAATGGAAGTACAAAAACATGCTAAAAATGAAAGTAGAATAACAGGCCCTCTTTAACACTTGTCTCCCAGCACCCTGTAGTAAAACCACATTGATTCAGTCAGCACCTCTTCCTCATTTCCTGAAATTGTAACCTTTTTAAATGTTAATTTAGAAAATTGTTGCAAGCTTTCCAGAGGTCTTTGCGGTTGTTCAGAGAGTACATGGCGCTCAGAGGTGCTTTAGAAATGCTGTCGTCTACAGTTGCTGCACAGAGTAAAGTAAATTTAACACACACTCGCTCAGTGCTCGTGGTCCTGTCACTGCAGAGACAACAGTGGACAGCTGCGAGGGGTAATTTAGTCATGTGGTCTTCAAGTTGTGTGTAGTAAACACCCTCTTACCCCTCTTTAATTCCCCTTCACCTGATAGACGCCATTTTCCCTGCCTTATTGCTGCTTCTTTACTCCAACAAATTAACTTTTAAGCTGTTTCTGAACACGGTGAGTCCAGTGTTGCTGACTTTTTCTCTTTTTGTTGTTGCTTGCAGTCAAAGCTGTAGTGTGTTTGTTTTTAGCTTGAGAGTAGCTGGGTTTCAACAGCTGCTCTACTTGTTAGCAAAAACAGAGAGCAAACCTTTGGTAAGTATAGTTTGTGTTTGTTTTCAGGTCCATTTGTCTTGTGCAGGTGTGCAGGCTTGCATATACAACCACTGGGGAGAGTGTGTGTGCTGGCTGTTATTAAACAGGTGCACTGGTTGGGTGGTCTCCTCTTATATAATGCACACTGTTTTATTTTTGTTTTATATATTTATGCCATTATTATATATTTTTATTGTTGAATATTTGCTTTTATTTGATACACCAGAATCAGAACAAATTTTAAAATGTAAACGGTGCATTGAAAGAGCCCTGGGCAGGAAAACAAACACATTCGCAATCATTTATTTTAGTTGTGTAACTCATAGCTGGAGCTCTTGGGCGTACTTTAAATATTGAATTACGGCAATTAAAGCAGTTCTCAGAAGAGTTCAACCAGTTCATTGCTTGATTGTAGATGTAAAATACTTGGGGTTTCATGACTGTTGTTGTTTTTTAAATAGTTTAATGAGTTGAAGTTAACATAATAATAATTTACACAACTTAACTTTTGGAACTTTTGGAGTTTTTGATCAAAAAGTATTTGCCCGCTTATAAAATACCTTTATTTGTGTTTTTTTTGTCTGATTCCTACTTCAGATCAGCAAATATATTTTAATATTATGCAGATTTAACTTGAGAAAACACAAAAAACGGTTTGCAATTAAATCCCAACTCGCACCTGAGCACTGCTACATTACAGCAGCGCCCCCACAGGCTAGGAGGGGAAGGGATTTTCCATAGGGTTGGGTTCGTTTGACATGGTGCAGTGTGAAAGTGAACCACACCAGCTGAAAATGTAACAAATGTTGCAACTTTAGTCCCCAATTGAACCAAGTGAACCAGGCTTTCAGGTGTGAAAACACCCTAACTGTTCTGTGGTGCTTTCTCAATAAGCTTTATGGGGTTTTTGGCAGGAATGTGATGCCAAAGCTCTGGACTTACATCCAACTGAGATGTACTGTGACTTTGAACACACCATTAATGCTTGATAATCCTCTTGTGTGGCTCAATTCTGCTTAGAAAATGTGTCCAAAGAGATGTAAAAGATGCTTCATGTATTTGTTGCAAGAGAGGGACGATGAGTTATTAGATTTAAGGTGTTAAGTTTTCACATAAGTCTGGTTTGGTTGGATATAACATTTCCTTTTAAAATCTGAAAAACTCAGAGAAAATAGTAAATTTGTATTACTCTGTGCTAAAATTATATAAAATTATACAGTACGCAGTACAAAATAGCAGAAATAAGCATATCTGTTACCCTGGGAGATATTTACAGTTCAGTTCAGTGTCGAGTTTATCATCACCTGCGGATGTTGAGGTTTGGATGCCGACAGGAACATCATTTCTAGATGCCAGCAAACCATTTTTTATTCACTTTCATCTGTTCAAACTTGAAATCCCCCTTGTTGCCTGATAGTAGATGTTTTGGAGTTACCACAGGCTAACTATTCATAGGTACTCTATTAGGGTACCTTTGGCCAGCTGCCATAGGATAGCTAGCTTGCTTTAAACTTGCTAACTACCTAGCAAGTATAGAGCTAGCTAGCTATTGGCTCACCCATGAGTTGCATTTATTTGTGATTATCTTTTGTACATTTGTTGCAATGCAATAAATTTCATTCATAATGGTCTTTCAGAAAAGTTTTAAATTTGAGTTGGTGGAACCTGCAGAAATCCTGCTGTAAATAATCCCACATTTCCTGTGACTCCAGAGAAATAAAAAGTCTTTTCAGAGTGTGTTTGGAGTAAATTCTGCCCCAACATGAGGATTCAATCAAATTTTATTACCAACCACAAAATAAATTCTAACATTTTTTGGGTCAGTGTTGGGGTGATGAATGTTAGAAAGTCAGCAGAGATTAAATGTCCGAATTGTTAATACCCCCTTGAAGTTTTTAACTCCAAATGATGATGAGGAGGTTCTGCTCTGACAATCTGAAGCGCATTTCCTGTCAGCTGTGTTTGTCTGTGTCCCCAAATAATCTTTGACATTGCTATCCACGTGCTAAGAAGACATTTTTCTTCCCTCTGTGTCTGCAGGACGTCCAGCATTGAAGACCCCCGTCTCCCTCAGGTCCTGTTTGACCTCCTGACAGTGAGAGGTATGACCACACGCACAAATTCAGTGCAAAATTTAACCAATGTCGAGCTGTTCTTGTGTTTTTAAAATCAGCCATGTTAAAACACCGCTGTGCAACGCAGGTGTGAGTCGGCACCTACACAAGCTCTGAAAGGCAACACATGCAGTCTGCAGACAGGTCCTTGAAATCCTTGGAAATGTACTTATATTAGATGCTTTCAAGGTTTGGAAAGTGCTTGATTTCTGTACAATTTTTTTTAAAAGTGTTTAATATTCAAACTGCACAGTTTAGTGATAAAGTTAAATCAAACATCTGATTAAAAGGTTAAATTTGGAAAACATTTGAAACCAGATATTTTTAAACTCTTTTTTTTTCTTTCTTTCGTTGAATTGGTCTAAATGTTCTTTTTTTAGGTTTTTTAGAATTTCAAAAATTCTTTGTATTTGCTAAATGCCAGAAAACATTTTTTTCTGACTTTCTTTCTAAAGTCGTAGTTTACTTAGTTTTAATGTGGATTAATTGAATAATTTTTCATTAAACTTCTATTTTACTTCAGATGCATCTAGCTGCTTTTCTGAGAAGCATTTTATTTCAGAAAAGTCAATTTTGCTAGAATTTATTTAGCAAATTCACTCCAAAAGATTTTCATTTAATCCGTTCAACATTTTAAATTTGAAAAAGTCACAGAAGCAAAATTACTTTGCGGTAAAAAGTCGCTTAAATTGAGCATCTAAAATGTTTTCAGTGGTGGAAAACCAACATTTTAACGGGTGTAGATTCGAAATACTGAGATCGTCAAAGTCGATATTTTAACGCTTGTAGTTTTATAATAACACCACACCACGTGCATTGCAGCTCTTAATGTCTGGTGAAGATCTGCTTGAGATTCGCCAAGGATCCGATTCCAGCATTGACTGTAAAAATGGCCGCCAAGCCGTTTCCATTCCTCTGATGTAGTTGTGAGAGAGTAATTGTATCTTCAGTGATTTAAAGCTTTCACGGCTAAAACGGGAAACTGATTTCACAGACCAAATGTTCTCCTGTGTCAGCTTTACTCACCCTCAGACAGACATGGACAGGCAGACTGGGCGTAGTTATCACCGCGATGGAAATAACACGTCGTGGGAGACCAGTGCGGTAACTGGTGAGCTGCTGGGAGAAGTCACTGCCCTATTTTTAACTCCAGTAAGAAAAGATTATGAATGAGATCATGAAGCTTGTTCCTCATGTCCATTCACCTGTTTAATTGACCTTTTGATTATGAAAAGTTAGGAGATATTTGTAGCTTGAATTGTAAAATTGTATAGAAAACAACTAAAATATATTTTTAATGGATACTTAATTTCAAATTTGAAAAGGCCGACAATGTAACCTTCAAAAAGCAGCCATGTTCTTTATATTAGGGCTGTCTAAACTAAATAAAAAGAAAACTAAAATGAAGCAGTTAGTTTATTGTTTGTTTTTTATAAGGAAAGGATGTTATTCATAATAAGGCAACAAATGTTTTTTAAATTTATTATAGCAAGACTTGGGTTTCTCTCTTTAAAATGCTTTAGGACATTAAATAAAAGCTCATTTGGTTCAGCAAAACCAGCTTTAAATGTTTATTGAAACATTTTTATATTCATATAAATATATTTGCGTTAACCGCCTGAGCTGGACAGGATAAATTTGTATCATTCTTGAAATGCTGTCGGGAATTTCACAATCTCAGGGCCACAAATGGCAAAAGTAAGCAGTTTGTGTCCAGTATGTGGGGGATCTGCAAATATGTTACCTGTGTTTTTCCACTCAGATATTTTCAGGCATTTGATATTCTTTGTAATTGTTTAATGAATTGTAAAAAAAATGTACATAATTCCTCCCCGTGCTGAATAAACTGTAAAAACCAGATAGTAGGGCTGAAATGTTTAATCATGATTAATCAGTTGTTGACATAATCGTCAACGAATTTAGTTATTGATTAAAACCAGAGTATACACACTCAATAAAGGCTATTTGCAGCAAGAACATTTTCAGAGCAGAAATTGGCCCAAAACTGTACAGAAATATACAACTAGCATCTAAGATGAAATAAAAAATCAAAACTTTGCACATATATTCACTCAAGTGGCATAGTTTTTATTTTTGTTTAAATTCTGTTAAGCAAAACAGAGTCAACAGATTAGTACTGTATTGATCTTAAATCAATCAGAAGAGGGCGAGATTTAACATGTTGATGGAATATTTATTTTTTTTGCTGCAAATGACTAACTGTAAACTAAAGGAATGCTTTAATATTGCATTCAGGCAATAAACTATTTATTTTCTTACATAAAGGAATTTGAATTTTTATGTATTTCAAAAGTTGTTAAAAATGACAGAAAATGAAAATCTGCCTATTTTTTATGCGATTAATCATCAAAATAACTGATTAATGAATAACTGAAATAATGACTTGTGCAGCCCTGTTTTAGAAGATTTAATTCTACAATTCACAGGTACATTTTAGTATTTTATCTTTTGTATTGCGACTGCTTTCTGATCAGAACATCTTGTTCCAGCTGCTCAGAACTGGAGAAGCTGAAAGTTTAATTTTCCAAAATGCTTTCCAAAGCCACTGACTCCTCTTTGGCATCCTACAAATATGTTTCATATATGTATCTGTGCTATTTCCACAGTGTAATTGAGCAGACAAAAACAATATTTGGTTCAGCTTAGCTACATTTACTGTCTTGTCAGAAGACTTCACATAGTTATAATGTTACAGGGAGAAGCCTAATGCTTGTTGATAGCACAAAGCCACTGGTATTTAGTGGGAAAGGTTCACCAGAAACATGCTCAGACACAGCAGTTGTTTTACTTCCTAAGCGTTTATGTTCCTTTCTGCTCAAAATTTCAACCATTAGAACTTATTCTTAATCTGTATGCATTGCAATGACACCTAATGTCCCAAACAAAACCTTACCGAACTCTATGAACTGCTACTTTTAGCTCTGTTGGCTAAACTAGCGCAACGTGTTTGGAAATCCGGCTGATAATATCTTGTTTTGGGTTAAACTTTCTTATCCTTTCACATCCTGTCTGGCTTTAAATGCCTTATTTATAGGGCAACAACTTATGTCTTTCTAAAACACTATAAATAACAAGGTTTTTAAGAATATTTGTGCAATAAGTTACCGTGATTGTAAATGCCTTCAAAGTAAGTTTTGTTTTGCTTTATTTAGTTTGCTAATTGACAAAAAGCCCCTCTAATTCAACCTGTGCAAAAAGCACCATCAACAGTCACTCTTGTGATGCCATCTGAAGTAAAAACTCTGCCACTGGATTAGTTTTGGGTAAAACATTTTTACAGACAAATGTTTTTTTTATATCTTAAATGCAAAATTTACATGTATTTTTGGACAGGGTTGGCTTGTTGTTTTTTCTGTAAATTGCCTTTTTTAAAATTCTATATACACATATCAGCGATTAATCAATTACTAAATTACTTGACTATTATTTCAATAATCAATTAATTGTGATTAATCGTTACAGTTTCAGCTATTTTATTACAATATGCGAGTAGATTGTGCTGTTTAGATTTTTTAGATACTGCAATTTGTAGTGACTATTTCTAAAACCTCTTTGTTGTTGATTCATTTTTAATGTTTGTTAAAAAAAAGTGTTTTCAGGGATTAATCATAAATTACTGTAGTAACAAACAAAACCTGGATTGTTTTGTGAGCGTTTACTAGTTTTGGAAATCTGTCATCATGTGGATCAGAGTTGTTTAGTTTGTGATTGTTTACGTAAATAAATAAGTGGCTTATTCTTGACTAAACTTGACAATATTTTTAGCAACTGTTAAAAAAGTGATTTGTAATTGTGAGGAAGTGAAAGGAGGAGTTTTTATTTTGTGTGGATGAAGGACAAAGTCTCCTGTGAAGCCTTCAAATCCTCTCAGGAATGTGTGTGAGTGCGCTGGGGGGTTGACTTGTCACCACATTGTACAAGGAATGCAGATATTTGTCTGAAACTGTGTCTTCTTAGCTACATGTTGAGCTCTTTCTTTCCCCAATTTAGCATTTTTTATCGTTTTCTCACAGCTTTCCTGGTTTTTCCTTCTTGTATCAGAACAGCAGCAAACTAGTTTTCTTCTTCTGTTCTTGTTAATGTGTTGATTTGTTTTTTTAACCGTCTCTTAAAATGGAAACATTTTTACAGTGAAAGTTTTTATTGTATTCTTTTAATGTTTTTATTTGTTTAAACAAACAAAAATTGTATTTAAATGAATCCATCCTCTTTAGTTTAAACAGAAAACTATGTTGATGCAACCAGTCTGCCCCAGACAGTTAGACTGGTTATACTGGGATAACGCTGCCAGTACCAGTGTTTCCACTCAGTCTGGAAAAGTTTATAAAGTTTCTTAAATATTTAATTCAAATAATTTGAAGTGCTGGATAAGAATCGGACATTTAGTGCATATCTCATTCATTCATTCATTCATTCATCAAAACATGCATATGTTAATGTATTTATTTAATTCTTTGTGGTTTTGTCATCTGTGCATTCATTCATTTATGGATTCATTCATTCATCTATGGTTTTATTTATTCACCTATGTATTCACTTATTCATTCACTCATCTATGCATTTAGTTGATGATTTATCCATTTATTCATTCCTTCATGCATTTTTCAATTCATCTGTACATTCATTCATCTATGAATTCATTAATTCACCTATTATTCATTTATTCATTAATGCATTTAGTCATTCATTCACTCATCTGTGCATTTATGTAATCTTTCATTACTGTAATTATCAGTTCATCTATGCATTTATTCATTCACTCAACTGTTTCATTCAGACACCTTCACCAACTGATTTTACATCTCTGAGTGTAAAACTAAAGGCGTTTGGCCTCCGATGTGAGGAATGTTTCTGTTTCCTTTACTTTTCTGACCCGTTTTTCTGTTTCTGCAGGATGGTGATGGCGGACGGAGCCCAGAGAGAAAGAGGGAGAGCTGCTCCTAGAACAGAGGGGAGGCAGATACTTGTGGAGCTCGGTGAGAATAATTATCTGCATTATTTCGACTTCTCCCTTGAAGGATGTTATGAAATAATTTTTGCTAGATGAAGTAAAGGTTTTTATTTCTGATTTTTCCACAGGCGAACAGAACTTTGATTCCATTTGTCTCTCTACGTATCGCACCGCCTGCAAGCTCAGATTTATTCAGAAAAGATGCAACTGTGAGCATCATCATGGCTGATAAGCCCTCAGTTACACTTTAAGACTTTCTTACATTCTAATTTGTTTTAGAAGAGGAGAGGAAGCTAACTGATGTTGTGTCTTCGTCCTTCCAGTGCATCTGATCGACATTTACAATGTGATCGAGGCGGTGCGGGACGCTGGGCTGAACGCCGTAGAGCTCAACGCCGGGATCTCCGTTACCAGACTGGAGAACCTGGTTTCCTCCCTGTTCAACCAGCTCAGCAAACGCCTTCCCACCACACACATCATCAACCCGCAGGAGAGCACCGTCCTCCTCGTCGAATTCATACTGGCCGCCGTTGACTGGTAACCTGCTTACACACAGCAGCATGTCACTGGTAAAATCTTTCAAATGAGCTCAAAAACTCACATTTCCCATCAGCCATTTGAATTTCAGCATGGTGGACATTTTTCAAGATGGCTGCCGTTTTTTAGCCTTTTAATTTAATTATTGACATTAAATGCTGCCCAGTTCAATAGATGAAGTTTACGTGGTATATTATATTTTCAGCTTTGGTTAGACCATTCTGACAACTTCACAGTAATCATGTGTAGCAAAATCAGATAAAGGAGCTGAAGATGTGTGACACAGACTGAGACAGTTGTCTTAATGTTTAGTGTTAGTTTCTGCTACTTTTTCTTTTTTATTGTTTTAATGTTAGATTATGCTAATATCTTAATGTTTAGCTCAAGCTTCCACTAATAGTTTTGTGCATTTAGCATTAGCTCCTGGTGATTTTTTTTTATTTTTTATTTTTACTTGTTTAGAAGTTTTTCTTTAGCTTATGCTAATAATTTTTTATTTGTTTAGCATTAGCTTGAATTCATTTTTTTATTTGTTTCCCAGTTTGGTGTTAGCCCCTGATAATACTTTATGTATTTAGCATTAACTTCTGGTAATATTTGTATGTGCTTAGCATTAGCTTCAATTTATTCTTTTACTTGCTTAGCAGTCTAGCGTTAGCTTCTGCTAATATTTGTGTGTAGCATTAGCTTCTCTTTATATCCTTATGAGTTTAGCAGTAGCTTCCAGTAATATTTCTACTTATATTTTCATGTGTTTAGCATTAGCTTCTGTTTATATTTCTACGTGTGAAGCATTAACTTAGGGTAACGTTTTTTATGTATTTAGCAGTTTAGCATTAGTGGAGCTAAGGTTCTTGTTTAGCGAATTAGCAGTTAATGAACTTAACCTTTTGTCAATCACTGGCACCTCCTGTTGATTTTACATTTATTCTTTGTTACTATCATGGTGCCCTTTTTGGAGAATGTCCACTAGAAAAAGGAAACACAACATAAAATTTTTTACATAATTTCTACGGTTCAAATTGGCATCTAAATTTGGTGCATCAGTAAATATGATGATATGTATGATTTGACACTAAAAGAATTCACCTTTGATAAATATTTGCAAACTTGGTGCAAAATTAAATCTTGTAAAACGGTGGCCATCTTGAATTTTTGGGTGGCTAACTTTTTTTTGTTTTTTTTCCAAAAATGAAACACCTGGAAATATGTGTGCCCAGTTAGGTTCTTGTGTCCACATGTGGGATATTTTGCTGAAATATTCATTTATCTGCTGCAGTAATTTGCTAAGTGTGGACGTGTTTCCATCGTTCTAGTGAGCCAGAGAGCCGTCTGACGGTTCTCTCTGTTAAAGCCATGCTCTCTATACTCTGTGGAGGGAAGCTGGTGGACAAACTGCGATGTGAGTAGAAATCTTTGTTTTACTTTCTGCTCAAAGGGTTCAAATAACACTGAAAAATATTTTTTAAATACATTTTTAATTCTGTGTATTGACAATTCTGACAATTTTCAGACATAATCAGCCAATAGTTTTACTAATAAACAGATTTTACAATGGCCACTGTTTCGAGAAACTTAAATACACAAAAGGCAAATGTCTTTGAAGCTTGACAATTGCAGTTCTTTCTCTCTCTGTATTTATTTTAAACATCCAAAGCCTTAGAAATGCAGTTATTTTTCATCCATCTTTGAATTCTTTTAAATTGACATGAATTCTTTTTTTATTAGAATTGGGTGTAGAGAGTTTTTAATCTCAGTTAATTCATGATTTAAGGAGGGGGTTAAACAATTCTTTCTGGTCTTGATAGTCTTGTACTTTAATAAACAAACTAATTTATTCTTGGATTAACGCAAATCAGTTTAATCTGGAAGGTTTAAACGTGACAAAAATAATAACCCATGACTGACAGACATACAGAAGAGCATTAGGACCACTGGAAAAAACAGAAGTCAGACCTTTAATGTCAAAATCCTGACATTAATTTTAGAATTTAAACTTTAATCTCAGAATTCAGACTTTAATCTCAAAATTTGAATTTTAATCTCAGAATTTGGGACTTTTATCTCTGAATTTAGATTTTTTTTCTCAATTGTGGCTTTTTTTAGAATTTGGAGATTAATCTCAGAATTCCATATTTTTTCCTCAGAATTAGAACTTTAATCTCTGAATTCAAGCTTTAATTTCTGAAGTCAGACTTTAACCTCAGAATTTGGACTTTTATCTCTGAATTTAAACTTTTTTTGGTCCCTGAATTCAGACTTTTTTCTCTGAATTCAAACTGTAATCTGTGAATATGTACTGTAATCTTTGAATTTCAACTGTAATCTCAGAATTCTGATTTTTTGTCCTAGAATGTTGCGTTTGATGTCAAACTCATTCTCTGACTTTAACGGGTCATAATCTGTTTTTTCCGGTGGCCCGGATCCTCCATACTGACGTCTGTAATGTTCATAATAATATTCATCATGTTTCTGTCTGTAGATGTGTTTTCTCAGGTTTCTGACTCCAAGGGAGTCATGGTTCTGTCCAAGTTTGACAGTTTTCTAAGAGAAGCTCTCAAGCTGCCCACTGCTCTGCATGAAGGACCGTCCTTTGGATACACACACACTGTGGCTCGCTCCTGTTTCCCACAGCAGGTACACACTTCGCTCATCTGGGTTTTGTTGCTCAGAGATTAGTTGGAGATCCTAACAAAGGAGAAAGGAAGATGGACCGATGTTTGGTCGTAAAATGTCTCAACAGTTTTTCATATTGTTTTTTGCAGAAACGGGTGATGCTCAACATGTTCCTGGACATGGTAGCTGAGCCTCCGGAGTGTCTGGTCTGGCTGCCGCTGATGCACCGCATGGCCAACGTGGAGCAGGGTACACACACAGCTAAACACACACTTACTTACACACTTACTCAAAATCAGACTAAATCAGGAATATTCATAGGAAAGATTTTTTTCACAGTACAAAAACACTCAAATAACTTGAATAGAGCTGCTTCATTCAAGATTGAACTGATAAATACTCCATCAAATCAATAATTGTACCACTACAATAAAAACTAGATATTGAAAACATATTTTTTAACAGGGAGATGACTTTGTCAATCAGTTTAACATTTTTATTTATCTTTATTTCAGAACGTATTCATTTCAAGGATTAATTTGTCTTTATTTATAATTTCATGTATTTTAACTTAAATAAATGATATAAAAAGAGCCGTAAATTATCAACAGAGTAACTCTGCAATGTATTGATGTTTAGTTGAGCAGAAGAGGTTGAACTTTTCTCATTTTAATGTTGGAAGAATTTATTTTTGTATGCAGATCCTTTGTTACAAATGATCAGGTGTATATATTATTGTGTTTCAGGCAATAAAACGATTATTTTCTTATCTAAAGTAGATATTTAATTGTTTATTTGCATGTTTAATGTTTTTTTTTAATATTGTATACAAAAGTGGAAAACCTGAATTTTTTTTATCCAATTAATTGTCCAAATAATCACTAAATTAATCAATAACAGCCCAATTTTTTGGGTGTGTATCTAAATAGTAAAAAGTGTTAAAATATTGTGCATATTAATCTCTAGAAAAATATACAGAATTTCATTAATTTTTAAAAATCATATTTATTTTGGTTTTGTTTGCTTTACTTCTAAAAAAAAAAAAAAATGTTTTGTTTGTTTTTTCAGTTTATCATCCGGTTTCATGCTCCTATTGCCGTAGCAACGGGATCACAGGCTTCCGGTACCGCTGCCTCCGTTGCCGCGGTTACCAGCTGTGCCAGAACTGCTTCTGGCGTGGAAACGCCAGCGGCTGTCACAGCAACCAGCACCAGATGAAGGAGCACTCCTCCTGGGTGAGTCCCGGTGCAGGTTCTTACGTGTGGCACCAGGGGGCGCGGTTTCTTACGTGTGGCACCAGGGGGCGCGGTTTCTTACGTGTGGCACCAGGGGGCGCTCTCTTGAGAAAAACAATGCAGATTATTTCATCCCACTTCTAAAAAAAAAAAAAAGTTTGCAATATTAAATAGTTGTCAGCTGGTCATCATCAGAGGTGTTTATTTCCACTTTTTTGCTGTTATTTCCAGTTTATCCTGCAGATTAGAGAGTAAAATGATTTCAGCAGAGAAGAAATGAATTTAAAGATACAGAAATGGGAGTTAAATTATTTATAACAAAGTTCTGACGCATCGCATTAATGCCTCGGTTTCAGGGATAAATGTCTCACCAGAGCAGCTTCCTGCCTGCAAACACATTCTGCTAGTCGTCCTCTGCAGATTTATGTTTAGGTCTCAGCCTGAATGAGGTTTTAGTTTAGTTTATTACTTTTACCTCCTCCATGTTTTTATTCTTTTTCTGTTTGACGTTCATGAAAAAATTTCTTGCTTTTCAAATTCAGAAAAGTCGTATTAGAAGTTTTAGTAATCAAGAAATGAAAGGAATCTGGCGGTGACATGTACAAAACAGATTTTCTTTCCTTTTTTTGCAGAAATCTCCTGCGAAGAAGTTTGGTCGCGCCCTGAGCCGGACGCTGGGCTGCGTGTCATCAAGGGAACCGCCCCATCCGATTTACCCCGAGGAGCCGGAGCGGACCCTGAACCTCACCAACATCGTGTACGACCTCACAGCGGCGCCACACATCTTCATCGTAGACGCTAAACAACAAGCGTTAAAAGCTGAATTTACTGCATTTAGTAATCGATTAATCATTAAGTGGAGTATACAGACTCAAGAAAAGGCCATTTGCTGAAAGAATTCAGAGCAGTTATTAAACTAAAAGTGGAAAAATATAAGTGCAGTCTGCATTTGCGTTTGCTTTTGCAGAAGTCAGTACAGCAGAGGGGTGACATTAGAAAATATTGAAGGGGTCATTTTATTTAAGAACAAAATAATTTGCTTCCTGGTTAATTTGTAGACTCCTGAGCAACATAGAACATTCATACGCTAATAGGACATTTAGATGGACTGACAGGATGCAGACCCTCCTCTCTGAGCAAAATGCTCCGGTCGCTCCGCCCTCTTGGTGGATCTTTGCTGTTTGATTGTCGAAACGACTGCAGACTGGGTCGTTACCGACCTGCAGGCGTTACACTCAGGGAGCGTTACACTCAGGGAGCCGTATATGTGAGTATCATGATGATATTTGTGCAGACTTATTTCTTTATTGGTTTCTGCACAGATAATTTCCAACTTTGTGTGAATTTCTTTCCCCTTTTCCTTTCAGTTTTCTCTCCCTCTGCCGATCTTTGGCCTGTCTGTGTTTGCTCAGACTAAATAACGATTCGCTGTTGCATGAATGCACTCAAAACCACGTGACTTTCTGTGTGGGTAGGAGAGTGTGAGAGAATGTGTGTGTTTTCTGATAGGGAGGTCTATGCTTTTAAACTGCTGATGTCGAGGCCCTAATGGTTACGCATGTTTGTTTCTCAGCCCCTCCAGACCGATTGGGAACACCAATGAGGCCATGTTGCTGTCTTCAGCGGTACCAGAGTCGTCCAAGAGGTAAAGAGCGGCACAAAGAGTAGAGAAATATTAACTTCACTGTTTACTTTCTGTTTGGCTGTCGTGGTTAAAACAGTCAAGCTTGTATAGAAAAAAATCCTTCGTAATTCCTTTCATGTAGCTGCTTTCATTCAGTGACAGGTTTTTGTCTGTACCTGATAATCAATTCTTACAATTAAATAGTATTGGACATGTTTTGAAAGGAGTTGATCTTTTTCACTGCTTAAAATCACTGATTTGTGGAGCTAATTTAGACATTTCTGCATCATATTTTGTAATATTTACACATACGTATGACGGTAAATGTGACTTTTTGTTTGATAACTGATTATTACTTGACATGAAGTAAAACAGAGGAACCAGGGCAGTGGAAGTAAGTAATACTGCCACCAGCAGGTGGGAGTTAGAATCACATAAACACAATGTGACCATTTTGGTGGAAAATTTGCAGTAAACTCGCAATTTAAGCATTATTGTAAAAAGATGTGGGGATGTGTTGATGTTCCATAAACATGGAATAAAAAAATACAATATTATTTAAGCACAGAGCTGTTATGTTAAAGGTTTTATTTATGCATTCCTCTGGAGTCTAAAGGGCCACATAAGTTTCTTTAATATCAGAAAATATTAAAGAAAGTACTTAGAAAAAGTTCTATATTACAGGGTGTAATCCATCTAATCTATTGATTTTAATCTTCCATTGTTAGAATAAGAAGATCAAATCACTTAAATTAACAACCTGGAGAGTTTCTGACCTTCTGTTTCTCTTTCCACCCAGCTTGGCAGCAGCGCAGAGGATGAACGAGGAACACGCTCTGATTGCAGCATATGTCAATCGCCTGCAGAGCGGCCCCTGGTGAGAGGAGCACAAACACCCCAGCGAGGGTTGAGACAGGAGTTTACCAGTAATCAATAACTGTAATAATCAATAGTTGCAGCCCTATTTATGTGTGACTTTTCAGCAACATGTATCTGCTTGTTTTAAGTCGGTATTATTAATATTGATTAAAAAAGTTCTAGTTACAGCGGGAGATTATTTCACTTTTAGCAAGACATTTGTCGGGGCGTCCTGTGGTGGCTGTAGCACAACCCACGTTTGGCCGTCGCAGGTTCAATGCCCGGACATTTGCCAGATTTTCCCCTGTCTCTTTGCCTCCTTTCCTGGAGTTATTTGCTCTAGAAAGTAGATAAAAATGCAAGACTTTGTACTAATCTATTGACATATCTTTCATTAACCAGTTAATAATTGGATAGCGAAAGGATAACATTATTTATGCAGAATTTGAATCAAGTAAAGTTAAATGAGGAGGTCTAGGTTGAAAATATTTAAAGAAAAAATGCAAAATGTGTCTTGTTCAATTTAGGCTGAACCGTTTCTCTGATTGTGTTGTTCTTTCATCAGTTATTCTTTTTTTTTTTGAGTCTCCAGTTAACGATTAATTAATTACTAAATTAGTAGACGATTATGTCAATAATGGGCTCATTGTGATGAATCAGATGAATCGTTTGAACCGAAGCCAAACGTGTGTGTGTGTGTTTCAGCGGCGTCGACAGTCCAGGCAGGCAGGATGAGGAGCACAAACTCATCGCTCGCTACACGTCTCGACTGGCAGAGACGGAAAACACAGGAGTGAGAGAGAAATAACCCAATAAACTGGAGCGGATCAACAGAAAGTTTTATTTTCTTGTTTATTAATGAGGAAAGTGATGCGTGTGTGTTTCAGATGATTCCAACAAGGAGCATCAACTTTGATGTGAACAAACAGAAGAGGGAGCTCATCGCGCAACTGGAGTGCAAAAACAGGTGCAGAAGTCAAAACAGTATAAAAACGTATTAAACTTCTCACCTTTTGTCCCATTACAGACACAAAAACATTTAGTTCTGGTGTTATGATAAAGTGGAATTAAAAAGTTTAAAATTGTATTAAAAATAAAAGCCTAAAGTCTGGAATGCATTCAGTTACAGCCAAAATTATTCACACCTCTGTAAATGTAAATATATTTTTATTAAACTAATGGAATAGAATATACTTCATTCATTCACAGGGAGAAATTTATTAGCTAATACGAAAATAAACATAAGAGATCAAATTTATACAATATACATATAGCTAAGAGTGATTTAAGTAATTCAATATGACTGAATATAAATAAATAACAAGACTGCACATGCATAGATGTTAAAATATAAAATATATAAAAGAGTGCAGAGAAGTTTGTCAGAGTTAAAAAGTTTGTTTCTGGTGTAAAATGGATTATCATTTTGAGAAAATATAATTGCACTCGAAACGTTAAAAATCAGTTTTTGTAGTGCGCAGATACTCTTTTATATTTTATTGCATCCGGTCAGAAGAAACATGTTGATAAAAGTAAAGAATTACTTTCTATTTGCCATTTTTTCAGAAAAATAAAGCAACATTGTTTTGGTCTAAAAAGTATTATCTACCTATTGTTACACTGCAAAAACAGAAAATCTTAATATTTTTGATCTAGTTTGTAGTGTGAATATCTTTGCACACTTGAAATTAAACAAAACTAACTTACAAGTAACTTTTCATCAAGATATAGGAGCTTGACTTAAATAAATAATTTCTTAATATTGATGACAAAGTACAAGGCATTTTTTCCATATTATAAACTATGAAAGTATGATTTTGTGATTTAATGGGGATTTTTAATGTTTGGTTTGAAAAGTCAGCTTCCATACTGACAGTGTTTTAGTTTCTTATCGTTTTAAGTGAAATCTGTGAACCTGGAGGAAACTGGAGGTGTGTTTGTGCTGACCGGCGTGTTTTTCTCTTTTCCCAGAGAGATCTTGGCAGAAATCAAACGTCTCCGTGCCGAGCATGACGCAGCGTGTCAGCCGAGCCCAGAACGGTGCAGCACCAACCCGGCTCTCCTCGCCGAGCTGCGGCAGCTCCGGTAACAAAAACACACAATAAATGTTTTACTCATAAAACATTTATTTTATCTGAACGTCTGGCTGAGATGTTTCCAAATCACCAAATTAGAATTTTCATTTTGAGAATTACTTTTTTTGGTCAAATTTGGCTAATTTTTTTGTTTATTTTTGCAGCCCAGAGGGAGAGTAGTTTGGGGCAGATGGCAAAGGCAGATGGTGGATTTTCCTAAAAAAGCACAAACACAAAAACATGTTTCTACTTTTTGGTTAAAAAATAAATGAAGAAAGAAGAAATGCTGATTGGTGGGAATTATTTTGGTAAATAAACTATAGTTGGCATCAGATAGAGGTACTTTAGCTTTTAAAATTCTTATTTTTTAAAAAATAAGTTTTTAAATTATTAGTTTTTGCTAAAATGTGCTGTAAAACCGCCACTAGGAGGCGCCAAATCCAAGTTTTAGTTTTTCTTAAGTTCATTTTCATTTTTTTAACCTTGGGATTGATACAGTTGCATTATTTATATGTTATTTATAATTTTGTCCGTTTTTCTGTTCATTCTGTTCATATATATTTTTGTACAGTTGCAAATGGCCTATTTTTTACGAACTGTATACTCCAGTAAATGATTAATCAATTGCCTAAATTAGTTGTTAAATATTTCAATAACTGATTAATCACGATTAATTGTCAAACCTGTTGCTCAGATTCTTGTTTTGTTTTCTTTATTTGTTCATTTATTTTTATCACTATAGGATTAAAAGCTGAGACATTTTGAAAAATGGGATTCTGCTGCTTAATTGTGGAAAAGTCTCTGCTTTGGCCTCCTAATTTTATTTTTTTGTGAAATACAGACAATTTTCATCTTCCAAAAAGTGCTATTTTTAATTTTTGTTCTCTGACTTTTCTTGTTTTGCGTCCATTAATTGACTTCTTCAGACACCGAATTCCCATGTAATAAGAATATTAGGTCGAAAGGTGCATCTTGTTTACTGTTTGTGTTTTTTCGGGCCCTCAGTGACTCTTTGTGCTGAGTTTATTTACTCCTGTGACAGTAATGAGGTGTTGCTTTGTGTGTCCCAGACAGAGGAAAGACGAACTGGAGCATAGGATGTCGTCTCTGCAAGAGAGCAGGAGGGAGCTGATGGTGCAGCTGGAGGGGCTGATGAAGCTGCTCAAGGTGACACACTGTCTAAATAAAGACCTCATGATGCCTCCGCCATGGTGCAGAGGACAAAGTTTCCGTATTTCCTCGTTCCTCCTTGGTGTAACACATTCCTAACTTCTTTTTCCTCCTTTATAATTTCACTTTTTTGAGCTCTGATTGTCTGACCTTTCCCTTTTCCGTCCCTTTTTCCTCCTATCTGTCTCTGGCGGCCATTGTTGTGGCCCTGTAGGATGAGGAACAGCGACAGGCAGTAAGTTTATGCCCATCTTGTGTGACAAACACCGAAGTAAAACCTCAGTGTTTTACTTTAGTAATTGATTAATTATTAACTGAAGTTTACAGACTTGAAAAAATGCACTTATCAAGCTAATGTACAAAAATACATTCATATTGCATTTAAGATAAAAAAAAAAAAACCCTTTGGCCTTTCTTTGTGTAAAAGATTCTTCAACCGTATTTTCTTACACAGTTATTTAAAAAAAATGTGACTAATCGCTTATTTGAAAAGAAAAGATGCTGTATTTGTTGCTCATCCCTTTTTTGGAAAAAATAAAAAATGAATGTCTTTAGATTTAATGCTGTTTGCTTTTTTGAAAAAACAAAACAAAACTAAAGTCACTAGATTTGTGACTATTTTAAAAAATATATAACTAGAGTTATTAATGGTTGCTTATTGGACTTGGTAAATATATATATATATATATATATATTTGTGTCTAGTTATTTTTTTAAATAAAAAAATAAAAGTTTTTATATTTGTTGCCAGCTTTTTTTTTTTTTTTTGAGAAGAAAAAAAAAAGATGCTCTTTTCCGGTGAAAATAGTTCAAATAGTTTGGATGGATTTTTTTCTTTCTTACCTGCTTATGGAAAGTTTCTGTTTATATCTTAAACGAGATGGAAATCCTATGTTTGGCCTCTTTTGCTTTTGCATTTTGCACAAGTTGGTGATGCATTTCTGTTCTGTGGAAAAACACATAAAACTTCAAAAATCTCACAAACGAGATTTGAAGATATCATCCTCCTCATCCTCCATGTCCCCTATGGGGCTCCGCAGTTTTAAATGCAAAGTGCTGAGTGTTTCTTTGGATTGTTGTTGCTGTTTCTCAGGCGCAGGCGGCCGGTTCTTCTCACGCCTCCCCGTCTCGACCCAGCCCGTCCGCCATGCGTCCCGTCGCCGCCCCGTCTCCGCACGCTCACATGTACCTCCCTCAGGACTCCCTCGCCGGGGTCGGAGGTGACGTACAGGAGGCCTTTGCTCAAGGTGAGACTGGACTGTTTTACCAGAAAGGATTGTGTTTTACAACACGTTTTTCTTTCTTTTTGTAAAGAATAGTACTGAGGCATTATTAATATATCTATATCTTGCTGAAAAATTACTTTTAGGTTAATTTTGTTTTATTTCCAGTGTGTGTATTTAGATGAATGAACATTTTGATGTTTTTAGGGCCGAGGAGGAACCTGAGGAACGACCTGCTGGTCGCCGCCGACTCCATCACCAACACTGTGTCGTCGCTGGTCAGAGAGCTGCACTCTGGTCCGTTACTCCGTTTATTCTGACTAAAACAAATGAACATCTAGTTTAGTTTTACACCAGTATGTCATAAAACAGTTTCTGATGTTTAACTTCTGAACATTTTTGTCCAAACAGACGAAGGCAGAGAGGAAGAGGAGCGGTTGCTGAATGGGAAAGACAGAGGTAAGTTAATTATCTTAGTTATTTTTGTGTTTTCTTCTAAGGCAGACTGGAAAAGTATATATATATATATTTTTTATCTTTTTCCTAATTTTTTCCTTCTTTATGTCTTTTTCTTCTATTTTCTTTTCTGATTTTCTTTTTGTCTCCTATTTTTCTTCCTTTTCTCTTTTTTTGTTTTGTTCTTTCCTTCTTTCTTTCTTTTTTTTTCATTCTCTGGCTTTTTCTTTTTTCCTTTTCATTCATTCATTCATTCATTATTTTTCACCTTCCTAACTGACTAGTTTAATTATGTAGAAATTTAAGTGGTTTATTTTAAAAAGCTGCTATTATTAGGTTTTCAAGGCATTAATCAGTCAGAAATCTTTTCGTGTTTTAATTTTAGTAAATATTAGTTATTTTATTATTATTTTGAGTTCAGCAGCTCGTTGCAGAACTCCACTTTTATTATCCGCCTCATTAAAAACACCTGGCTGGACGGGAACGACTGACATGATTATTCTCCAGATGCTCCAACAAGCTGAAGTCAGCGGCTGCTTGTAAAAAATGATCAGGTTTATGTTTCTGAATGTAGCTGAAAGGAGATAAACAATATTAAGACAATCCATGTTGCAGCGGGTGTAGACCAGTGAGACTTGAAACACTTTCTCCAAGTGTCTGCAGTTTGTCTGCAGCTTCTCTGTGCGTAATGAGCTTCGTTAACATGCCTTCTCATTAGCCTCCTTTTTTACGAGGGTCAACCCCCTGCAGAGAAGAGCCAGATCTGCTTCCCCGTCTGCCCCCTCGCCGTCCATCATGATGCTAACCTCCAGTTAGCGACTACAACCCGACTACATGCTACATGCACGCCTCAAACTGTTTCCATCCATTGTTTTAGGACAAAAAAGATTAAAACAGCCAGAATAGCTTCTTCCTAAACAAGCAGAATTATTTTAATTCAGCCGCATTGGAGGGTTTCACCGAGTTCAACACTTTTCAGTTTGTAATGTAAACATCCGAAGGAGAAGAAGGTCGAAAAACAGTTTTAAAGAAATTAAAACTTTATCAAGATGTGACCAACTGAGTCTGAGACTGAAACGATTTCCGTATCTGTAAAGCCGATACTGGAGTGTAACTTCATAAAAGGTTTTATGTTTTTCTTAGAGAAATTCTCATGAAATTACTAATTCCTTCTCTTAATACTATGACTTTATTCTCATTTTATTCTTGTATCAACTTTATTATTGTACAGCTTTATTCTCATTATTTAGACTATTTTATTTTTGTAATATTGTGTCTTTATTCTCAGATCTTTTTATTTCATTCTTGTTCAATTTTATTCTCATTAGTTTTTACATATTATGACTATTCTTGCATTTTTACAATTTTATTCTAATTTTATTATAAACTTATCCTCCTAATATTATCACTTTATTATTGTACAATTTTATTCTCATAATATTTCTACTTTATTTTGTAATATTTTGACTTTATTCTGGGATTACAAACTTAAATTTTATTGTGACTTTATTTTGCATTATTACAACTTTATTCAAATTTTATGTACTTTACCTTTGTCCTCATATAATTTAAACTTTATTCTTGTATAACTTTATTCTCATATAAGTAAACTTTATTATTTTAATCCTTTTTCTTCTTAGTCTTTCTGTAATTCTCTGCTGTATTGTACACATCTCTTTGGTGCAAAATACGTTTTAATTTCTCGGATTATTACTATTTCTGTTGCTTTTTATTTTCAGGTTTCTCTGCTCTTTATTGAAAGTTTTATTTTCTGTTTAGCAGGTTAAAAAGCTGGCTGGGGGAAACGGTAAGTAAATCACTAAGACAATAAGTCTAAAGCTCTTTCCAGAAAATACAAGGGATTTTAGTTCATTTTAATGTACATAACTTGAAACAATGTGAAGGGATTATTATTTAACTCCACAGATTTAATTAGAAAAAACAGGAACAAAGTGAATTATTTGATGCTTTTTCTGATCTTGTGCAGGCCTTTCCAACCAGCTGCTCTGGTTTTTACTGAGGCGAAATTTAAGAAACCAAAAACTAGAAATCTTTAAAAAACAATCAGATTATCTTTCCTGATTCTCAAACATTTAAAGTGCAATTTTGAATTTTTAAAGTTAGTTTACGTGTAACCTAGTGATGATTTCTCCTCAGACGAACCGGTGTTTCATTACGGCCAAAGACGAGGTTAAAGGTCAGCAGTGGGAGGAGCCGATCCTCTAATCAACCAATCATGATGCTGGACACCAAACGACCACCACGGTCTCTACTGATGTATAGTTGTGATTTTTTTTGTGTGTGTTTGATCTCGCTTGATCCAATGGGAATTCTGAAACCTACTGATGAGTACTGCAGCATGTTTATTTGGAGGAGGAAGAAGGTGAGAGGGAGGTCGCGTCTGGAAGGATTGTTTTATAGATCAGAAAGATGATGATGAAGAAAAAGGGAAGTTGAAGAAGTGAAAGGTGAGCTGATAAAGTTTGAGCACTGTGTGCTTCGTATTTATTGCTTTGATTTGTTTCTTTTGTATTCGTTCAGTTTGAGAGCTTTATGTGTATATGAGAGTCGTCAGATCCTGCTGAGACGTTTAAGCTTTAAGGGACTAAATCCCACCAAGTTCCCTCCTATTGTTGAGATAAATGTACAAATATGTAGACGATGCAACTCTTCCTGAACTGTCTGGACAGAAACCAAATATTAGTGGTTCTAGCATTGTGAAAGTGAACTTTAAAGGTGACCTATTATGCTTCTTTGAACAAGTCCGTTTCACTTTTTGCACAAAATTATTCTTAGATCATTTGTCTTGGTCAGCTCAGACTATTTTGAGCTCCTATTTTAGAGCCTCCTGTTACATTAAATCCAAGAAGCTGCTGCTGGCCACGCCCCCCACCTCAACGTTGACACTCGCACTTGAAAATGGCTGCAAACAGATGTGCAATTATACGATCATACATATTTGAAAAGCAGACGTGGAGCCTTCTGCACAACCAACAAGAATGCAGCAAGTGGTTTCTGTAACAAACAACAAAACACTTCCAGCAGCCATTGTTCAACACACACAGTGATAAAACCAGTTGGGTTGCTAGGTAATGGCGCAGTGTGACTCAGTAATCAGGATGTTTTTAAAATGGCTCATTTTCCAGACACCAAAATACATGAACTTATTTCCAAACAAACTGCTGGATGTTTTCTTTAAAGTTCTTTTGTTTTTAGAAACAGTTAAGACCCAAATGGAAGAACAAAAACATACAAAATGTGAATTTTGCATATTAAGTCGCCTTTAATAGATCATGACTGGTGATGTTTTCCACTTTTTAATGATTTTTGTCTGAAATAAATTGGGCTGGGCGATAAATCGATTCAGTTTTTGGTTTTTGAAGATTTAATTTTGGGAAAAAAATAATAGATTTCACCAGTGCACTCGTTGGGTTCCATATTTCAGAGTGACATCTTCATGCCCACGGCGGCCATCTTGTTTGACAAGCTTGTTTTGCAGATTCTATTTGTTCTGATTTTGAGTTCAGGTCAACTCTATGGTGGGTTATTAAAGCCAGCCAAATACTTTAAAACAATTTTTTATTAAATAATAAAGTTGGAAGTTTAGCAGAACTGCAACCCAAAAAATTAAAAATTTAAGTTTTTCTAACATTTTTTTGACTCAGTGTCAAATTATACAACTGAGTCTATTTCAAAAACAACAACTGATAACTGAGTGCTTTTTCTCATTGAATCAACTTTCTTTTTTTTTTTTTTTTTACAAATTGTCATTGTCTGGCCCCAATTCTCTATTGTATAACTCAGAGATCATAGGACTGAATTAAAGCCACTTTATGAAAAATATTCAAAATCAAATCTGGTATGAAAATTTCAGATTTTTATTCTTAATCCATGTCGCCCAGCCCTAGAAACTGTTTCAGATGGAGCCATGAGTGCAGCTTTACTGTGTATTCTGGTACTGCAGTCAAAGAGGAGCTATCTGATTTCTGTGGTGTGTGTGTGTGTTTTATGTACATTATGTGTGTTAGTTTCCTCAACTGCCGCTTTCTGCAAAAGCAGCAAAATCTGAAATATTTACCTTGATAACTTGAAGAATTACAAAAGTATTCACACCTTTTAAACCTTAATCTGTAAGTCAGTTTGGATGGAAACTGTATTGACTTTGATTAGACCATTTTAACACGTGGTTTCAACCCGTCCTATTGAGGCCGGCTGTGTTTTTGGCATCTTTGTGCTGCAGTGACTTCTTCCTCAATCTTATGTGTTTTATATTAATGATGCCGCCACCACCATATTTCTGTCTGCATTGCAAAAACACCAAATCCTACCAAGTTCTACCAAGTGACTTATTTACTTAAGACAAGCTTATGAATCTTGTTGAAAAGTTACTTGTAAGTTTGTTTTGTCTTATTTAAAGTGACCTAAGACATTTAGACTAAAACTAGACCAAAAATACTTGGTAGGATTTTGTGTTTTTGCAGTGTGTTTTGATTAGTTTCTGTCAAACGGTTCAGTCAGAAACGTTTGAATGAGTTTGGATACTTTTGTAAAACACTGTAATTATTTGGTCTAGATGACTTCATCAGATTAGGACCCAAATTAAATCTAACAATCCCTGAAAATCACATTAATTTGATCCATTTCTGTTTTTCTTCTTGAATCGAGTCTTTTTGTAACTGAAGTAATTCATTACAAGGTCGACTCTATGTGAAGGGATTTTCTGATTTAAAGCCAAAGCTTTTCTCTGAATTCAGACTCATACCCTGATATAAAGAGTATTAATTTATTATTGTTTGTTTTCATTTGACAGAAAGTCATTTTGGTTACATTGTAAATGCAATCTCAGCTGTTGCATTTGTACTTTAAGGGTTTGCTAAAACAAACATGAAGAATTACCATTTATTGAACAAATTTTAAATTATTTAGAAGTTGTAGTTAGGTGCGTTTAAATTTTTTATAACTAAAGCAGCCGTCTGACATCCTGTACTTGGTATCAATTCTGTAATTAATGTCTTTTAGCGTCTAAAAGCTCCCTGGCTAAGCCAACTGCTTATGTTGCTGTCTTTGTTTTGCTTTATATAAAATATAAATTATTGTTTTTATGAGTTCCAGCTCTGGAAATAAAGATCTGCACCCATAAACCCAAAAGACAGCATGCAAGAAAAAAAACAAAAAGCCAAAGTTGTTTTGTTTCATTTCTTTCAACACGTTTCAGAGCTTTGGGAGTTGAAATCCCAACATCTTAAATTTCTGCATCGGTTTTTCTTCGGTTTTCACCACCGGCTGTTTTTGGTGCTTTCCACCTGCATCGTCACGTTTCCAGTCCGCGCAGCGATTGACCGACGGTATAAATGATTCCACAGACCAACAAGCCCGTGTTTCTGCATGCATGTCCAACAGTGCCTGGGAGTCTGAGGGGACGGGCTTGTCCTGACATGTAAACACCTCCAGCACCAAACCTGCTGGAGCAGAAGAGATGACTGAAAAATGTGTTTCATCTGCAATAAATAATATTTATCGACAAACTTTGTGACTTGTGGTTTTGATTCAAGTCTGCGCAGCAACATGAAAACATCGAGTTTGTCATAAACTCTTGTTTGGCAAAATACACAGCAATCAAGTTTTGGATTTTAGTTTTATTTTGTTGTTACTGAAGTTAAATAAAACATAACTTGTTTTAGGTTGTTTAGAGATACCAAAATTATTTCTATTTGTTCAATTCCAGAAAACTGAATTTTTTTTTCTTTTGTAATTTTTTGTATATTTAGCAATTAATTTGAACCTTAGCATGATTTGTTTGCATTATTTCAATGTATTAAATATTAAGAGTTATTGATCTATCTGTCTATTTTAAATGTTGAGGAACTTCACTGAAATGTGATTTTTTTTTTTGTTAAAATGATTTTATTCTACAACCAGTCATGCACTCTAAAAACATGAAATCTTTCCAAGTATTTTTTTGCCCAGTTTCTAGTGCAAATATTTAATATTGATATAAAAGTTCTGGTTCCATTGGCAGATTATTTCACTTATAACAAGATGTTTTTCCCATGTTATAAGTACTTTTTGCAAATACTCAAGAATAATCAGCTCTAAACAAGCTCCTCTATCTTGCTAAAAAGTTACTGATAAGTGAGTTTTTTCTTAAGGTCTAGTGCAAATAGACGTAGTGCAAAGAAACTCGACCATAAATACTTAAAATTTTATGTTTTTGCAGTGGCTGTACAGTGAGTGTTTGAGACATTTCAGAACAAAAATGTTTATATATTTTGGTTTCCAAAGTTCCTGCTGTGTGTGGAATATGATTACAACACATTATTAATGACAGTAAAATTGTTAAGAGTGCTAAAAAATATAGGAATTTTTAATGCAAAATGCCTAAAAGAAAAGGTTTTCAGCACACAAACTCCATAAAAAGTCACATTTTCCACAGATACGCAGACTTTCACATTTGGTTTCTTCGTTATTCTGGATTAGCGCTTCTCCCAGAGGTCAGTTGTGGTTTCTGAGGATGTTTTAAGGATGTGGAGGTGGGCCATTGTCTGAACAATGCTTACTGACGTTAGCCTGTTGTTGGTGACCTCTCTGTTGGCTATAAATAACCCCCCAACTCACCACCTCCAGCACTAACGCACAGTGACATGGTGCCATTATGACCCGGCGTTGTAAAGGTCACCCTTCTCTGCTTTGAGGTCAATCTGAGTTGAAGCTCAGATTGACCTACTGAGGAGAAATAAAGAGACTTTTCTACAGTTCTGTTAGCATACTAAGATTTTGTATGCATGACTTATTCTTATATGTTTTTTATATTTTATTTATAGTTTATTTGGTAGTAAATTTAAAAAAAAATTTTTTTTACCAAGTTTGTTTGGTCTGATTTTCAGTGCAAATATCTTAGTGCACTTGAAATAAGACAAAACTAACTATTTTAGCAAGATATAAGAGTTTGTTTAAAAGCAAATAATTCCTTAAAAATGATGGAAAAAGTTCCACTGCGAAAAATGTTTGGTTCCAAATGAAATAGTCTGCCAACATATCTAGTACTTTTTCATAGATGTTAAGAAATTAATTACTTAAAAAAGGTCCTTTATCTTACTAAAAAGTTACTTTTACGTGAGTTTTTTCTTATTTTAAGTGTGCAAAGATTTTTACACTACAAACTAGACCGAAAATACTTGGTAAGATTTTGGGTTTTTGCAGGGAACACATAATATTCAAGAATTTAGGCCTGAAACAAATCAGACTTTTCCACATTAAAGCAGCAAAACCGAATTTCTTAGCCTTTATTTGTATCGCAATAAGAGTAAGTGAACAAATAACGCAAACATGAGTTAGGGATGAAACAATCATGATTAATCAATTATTGAAATAATTGATAGCTAACTTACTGAAAAAAACTTCATATTTAGAGAAGTAATCAAGATATACAGTACCTGAACAAAGATATTTGTATTTTGCATTCAAGATTAAATTAAAAGTTTTTCTTGTTTCAGATCCGTCCTTTACTGACAAACACACACTAAGGGAAAGCTCTGACGTTGCATTTTAGACAATGTTTAAAAATTATATAATTTGCATCCTTTAATGTTTTTCTATGGCATTAAAAAAGACTTAAATTAAAAAAAAGCTGCATAATATGTTTTTGTCTCTTTAACAGTAAATAACACACGACAGTGTTCAAGATACTGAGGAATTTATATACAATTTCACAATTTTAAAACTTGCAGTCATGTGGAAGCGTATTTAAAATATGAGGGTTTAATAAAAAAACAACTTTATCTTAGAAAAAATACAATATTTTCTTTAACTCAATGGTTTAGAAAAATGTAGAAATACAAATGATCGAACTTGTTCATCAGCTTTAAAATCTGGTTATTCAAAACTTGAATGCAGCGTAACTGCACTCAAACAAAGACTTTTCTGATCTTATCTCACAGATGCCTATAAACTAGAAGGCTGTAAAAAGAATCATGATAAATTAAACAGCTCATAAAAGAAAGTATGTCTTTATAGAGGAAGCTGTAATTGCAAAAAAAACTTAATGTTATTGTAGTCATAAATACCAAACCTGAAGGAGATAAAGTAGCTTACTGCTACTTAATATCAACAACTCCCAGTGTGATTTTATATATTGTCTAATGTAAAGGCAGGTCCTGATATAAATTCCTGTTGCACTCTTCAAAAAATTACAATTAGTTTCTTTATATGCCGATAAACTGATTATATTTTCTCCTCTTCCATTTTAGAAATACACCTCCTTACAGTAGATGCTAAAGACAGTGGCGGTTCTAGGCTGTTTGGTGCCCTGGGCCACATTGACATAATTTTGATTCCCATAAAACATCATAGAAATTTAAAAAATAGTTTATTTGAAGACATTATTTGCCAGGCAGTCAGAGGTTTACAATACAAATACAAAAAATAAATACTGTTGAAAATAAATGCTATCAAAAATTAAACTGCCTAAAGGAGAAGCCGCCCTGGGCATCTGCCCACTTCACTCACATCAGAAACTGCTATTGATTATAGTGAAAATTTTGAGAAAACTGTGACAATTTAGAGATTAAATGAGAATTCTGAGATTTAAATGAGAATTTAGAGAATAATGTCAGGCATTTTTGTTCCATACTATTTTTCAAATCAGATTATCTAGACTCGCGAAAATGCCACTGAAACAATAAAGTTTCAAACAAAAGATCTAAACATGTCTCAAAACATATCCTTAATGATCAAAATGAAGCATTTTTAGCCTTTAAGCAGCTCAAACCAGAAGTTAGTTTTAATGGTTGGGTGTTTGAGAGGTCCCCATTATATGGCAAGCTATTATTATCAATAATAACGAATACTTTATTCCTATTTAGTAGGATTTTTTTTAAATCCACAAGCCTTATCCCCCGGGCATAATAAGTCAAAACACTAATAAACAACAAAAAGAAAATACAGAAGAGGGAAATAAAAAAATCAAACAATTTTGTCTATTGAAGCTCAGAAATGTTGATGTTTTTCAACCTTTCAAACTCAAATATATCCGAGTTTTTTTCTGAGATTAATTAATGTCTGAGATTAATCTCAAATTTTCTAGAATTTTTTTCACTTTTTACACTGAGAAATTTCCTACTTTTTCCTATAAAATCACAAAATTAAGAGTTTTTGCCAGCAATATTTTGATTTCACTCAGAAATTTCCTTGGTTTTTCTAGAAAATTTCTGAGATTAATCTAAATATTTCTCAGTTTTCTGGAAGAAATGTAATCTTTCTTTCTGTCAACAATATCGGGCAAAAAATAAAAACAAATAAATAATAAATAAAAACAGGTTGGGCACAAACAGTTCTTTACACTAGAGGCACTATTGGACATTTCTGGCAAATAAAAATTAACTGTGTTAAAAAGAAATAAATGTTCTTGAATTTTTCTCTTCAAGAACATTTTAATTTGTTCGTTAAAAAAAACATTTAGAGGGCAGCCACACTTTGAACACCTCGTGATTTAGAACAAGGTTCCCAGCTCCATCTCGTTATTTCCCCTAACGGCTTGCCATACTGCGGCTCGCGAAAGCGAGGGAGTGCGCTCGAGAAGACGCGGCGGCGCGCGCGAGAGCGAGGAAGGGGGGAGAGGAGAGTGAGA